TTTTTTTCCATTTTGCTCTATATTATGCCATTTTCCCTTAGTACAAGCAAGTCTATGGAACTTGAGCCAGGTCTTATACTAAATGTTTAAAAAAAACCAGATTTAGTGTGAAGTTCTTCTTAACACCTCATGTTTTCTTACTCCCCTGTATAAACACCAAATGCTATTGCCCTGCTTTCAGTGCCATGTATTTTTCCTTCCCCACAGTTAAATAGGTAATATGCCTAAAGCTGTACCTGAAATCTGAGCACCTTAACAAACCAAAACCTCAGCTGGAGGTCTGGCTCAGAGGTAGAATACTTTTTTTTAACATGTCCAGGATTTAATCTCCAGGACTACACAGACACCTACATAAATAGTAATTTAGGAGTAGTAAATTTTTAATAAATGGCTAAGATGTAGCTAACCACAAACATCCAACCTTCAGCAAATCACAGGTAGCCAAGTGAACACATCATATCAAACTAAGGCCTATGCTTAGGTACAGTTAGGCAGCAGATTTCTCTCCTTTGTTTCCATAATTAGACTGCAAATGCTGATCATCAATCATACTGTTGGGTGGAATTCTTAGGCCCTCTTCTGATTCTGAGTGCTGTACAATACATGATTGTATTGTAAAATCAGTATTTACTCAAATAAGATCTGCTAAATTAAATTTGTCTACAATTTTTTTTAAAAACTTTGCAAACAGCAGTCCCTGAGATGAATCGCCTCTTTCCTGATTGAAATTCTACTTAAATGTTCAGGCTTAGCTCAAATTATATACTTCTGGGATGAGATCTCAATCTTCCCTGCTCAATATTAACTACTTCTAAAATTCACTCCAACTTCACTAAATACAGTCAGTGTCCACTTCCTACATTCCTCACTGTGTGGTTCTATGTGACGCTCAGAAGTTATTCATTTCTTTCACTCACATTTGCACATAGTAGGTACTCAACTATTGCTAAATGAAAGACTTGTCCTCCCCAAACACAAAAATAATCTGTTCTCAAAGTATTTCCTCTAAAACTTTAATAGGGCTGGGAATGTGGCTTAGTAGTAGAGTGTTTGCCTAGCATGCATGAAGCCCTGGATTTGATTCTTCAGTACCACATACACAGAAAAAGCCGGAAGTAGTACTGTGGTCCAGGTGGTAAAGCACCAGTCTTGAGCAAAAGAAGCTCAGGGATGGTGCCCAGGGCCTGAGTTCAAGCCCTAGCACTGGCACAAAATAAAAAGAAACCTTCTAAGAATAACTAATTCAAATAGAAAGCATAATTTTATGTCACTTTCAAATAGTAAATATTTATACACTTAAACATTATAAATATTAGCACTGGAATATTTTTAAAGCTTTCTATTTCATAATTCTAAGCTACTTTAAATTTTTAAACATTGTCTTGAAAACACAGACTGGTAATATTTTACATCTAGGAAAAAACAGAAATGAACTCTCCAACACCCTGGTAGTAGAGGGAATATTTCTAAAGTTAAGGAAGACTGAATCTAAATGCTTTGGAAAAAGGTCTTAGAAACAAAGGATGTGTTCCTCATTCCAAAAGGCAGCTCAATGAGTTGCAATGAGCAGCAGATTGGGGAGTAAGTGAAGCCGCCTTAGGGTAGGGAAGCCAGGGCAGAGCTCCAAGTTTGCTGGAGCCACAGCCTCCAGATGATCTCTTACTCAGACTGCCACCTATTGGCCAAAGGCTAAATCAAACCCAAGAGAAGTGGCAGGGAACATCAGCTACTGCAGGATAGTTATTGAGTGATATTTTTAAATGACAGTTTTGTGTCATTAAAATGTGTTTTGACCATGTTCAATATGTGCAGGATATTGTATAATACCTAACTGAACTTTTAAATATACCTTCAGAGTGGTGCTAAAAGATGCCCCTAGCCTGATATGCACTTAAGCAATCAAAATTAGGAGACGAAGTGCAATATCACGTAGAAAATTTAGAGAAGTAAACAGTAATAGCAATACAACATTCACAGCAGTGAGAACATGAGTGCCTGTAAGTGATTTTTGTTTGATTTTACTTCGATTTGATTAGGCTTTAGCAGTTGCAAGAAGAGTTGCTTCTATTGAAACTGATGAGCTACACAGAAGAGCAGGAAATCCTCTTGTTGAACTAATAGCTGTATTAATTGTCAATCACTTACAAAACATACACACAACATGAGATAAATGAAGGAGAAATGAAAATTAATGTTTATTAATTGTCTGCTAAATACCAAGCACTGTGTTGGTATAACCTTATTTAACTCTCATAGAACTACTAGGCAAACATTGCTCCACTCACTTTATGGATGAAAACATTCAACCACTAACATTACAAGTAGCACTGCTGGAATGGCAGTATGGAGGACTCCATTGCATCTAGCTTTTAAATCACACACTAACTTGAGCAAGTCTGCTATAATGCTTTTGATAGTTTCCCCTCTATCTCTAGCATCAGTTTGCTTTTTCAAGTGTAATATAATGTGTGTTTAATCATTTGTAAAGGTCCCAGCTGACTGCAAAATTTTATGAAATGTATGTTTCATATAGGACTCAATACAAGAAAAAAATCAATTAGTAAAAGAACAGCTGTTCAATAAAAAATGTAGGAAGAAGTGGAGAAAATTCATAGTGAAAGAAGATAAAACTTGGCTATGAATAGAAAAAAAGTTGTTCAAGCACACATTTATATATTTCTATGTATATGTGTGTATGTGTATCTTATATATATGGCCTGAAGACAATTTTACCATATGTTTTGGTGCACGTATGTTTTGACTACAACCTGCCACATGAGGTCAAGTGTAAATTTTGTACTTATGGCATTATGTTAGTGTTCCAACAGCTTTGCTTCTAGAATTCATCCACAAATAAGTCTCACATTTGTACACAAAGGAATATATAGCAACATGTTTCCCACAGCAGATTTTGAAGTAGTAAAACACTGAAATTAATCTAAATTTAACTAATGGAGGGGGGCAAATGAAATAAGATAGGTCCATAACACTGAATTCTGTGTGGTACATATAAACAACTCAAAGTGTTTTTAATGAAGACAGCAAGGAATAAGAAATAAACGCTGTAATTATCTAGAAGCAGTCTATTTCTAGAAAATAATGTGGAAAATCACTACTGTTTTTCTCTGTTAGACTTTTTAAGTCACATTTAAGGGAAAATTATTCTTCTTCATCACATATTGTTCCTTTTTAAATTATTATATGAATACTTTTCAAGAAACATGAACATATTACTCCAAAAAATAAAATAGTAGAAGGAACGGAAAGAATTGTTTTAAATGCAACATTCCCCCAAATAGTCTACTAGCCCCAGATTACCATATATGTAAATGAACTTCAATTTATAGGGTGTACAAAGTAGGAGGATTGAAAATGAATAATAACACGCTGCCTTCTTCCTCTCCTCCAATCTCTGAGACACATTCAATTTTCCAAAATTCATGTTCAGGGCATGTTATAACAAATCAGACAGAATAGTAAAAATGTGAGTTCCAAGGACATGAAAGAATAAAAGATTTCAATTTCGTGGTTGTATAGATTCATTCACGCAGAAAAAAAAAAATGATGTTTAACTGAGCTATTACTCCTGCAGTAGTTGGATAGACATACTGAAATAAAATGCCAAAAAACTCATAAGTATCAATGATTATGTATGAGATTTAAAAGATGTCTGAATAGTACTAAAATCATGGGTGAAATACAGAAAAAGATTAACGATGTAATCATAAGGATTAATTATCAAATAAGTAAACATACTTATTGGGCACCAGATTTTCACACTGATCCTGAAAGTATGCTCATAACAAAAATGATAAAGTTTTCTAGGAAACCAAGTTGGTAAGTAATATCAGTTTAAGAGAAAAGACTATATAAGCCCTGTCACCAATCTTATTCCAATTCTATAAAATCTTCTAAAGCATTAGTGTTATCTTCCAATACTTTCTATTACCTAATGCAGTAAAATTCATCTCTGCTTCTTAGCAAAAGCAAGAATTTTATAAGTCTATATGCAAAATAACACACATTCTAAACATGAATAACAAAAGTTTTATTTTCAGACGAACAATAATATTTACATGAAACAAAATTTTAAAAAAGAAAATTTCCCTATTTTGTTATTCCCCTGCCTCTCCTCAGATATATGTATATACAAGATTCAGGATATCAAAATCAAGTACAGTGACAACAGGGGATATGCCATAGGGGAAAGAACATACAAAGGAAACAATAACAACAAAAATAATAAAATCACATGGTACATTTAAAACAGTAACAATAAAGACAGACCCCTTGGGGTTCATTTCACTCAGCATCAACTTATATGGTCATTTGTACATGGTTTTTGAGCTTTTCAGCTCATCTGATAAGATTATCCTATATGGATGCTAGTTATTATAAATAAGGGGAACCATGTGACCTAAATTTCTTTGGGACAGGGTAACCTTACTTAATATGGTTTTTTCTAAGTCTTTCCATTTCCTAACAAATTGGATGGTGGTGTTCTTTCTGATGGGAGCATACAATTCCATTGTATATATGTACCACATTTTCTTGATCCATTTATCTACTTAGGGGCATCTGGAATAAGGACACAGGATGACCCATTGCAACGAAAATACCTACTAGACAGTATATTGGAAATGAACTTTACAACTTCGGGTGGGAGGAGGGGTGGGGGACAGGAGTGTGGGAGCTGAAGGAGGGAAGGGACAACAACAAGGAAGGGAAGGGGTAACAATGTTCTACAAGTAATATACTCATTGCCTTACTCATGTAATTGTAACCCCTCCATACAACATCTTAACAATAAAATAAAAAAAATTAACAAGAAAATTTCCTTTAGTTCCTGGATAAATTATAATTAATGTTAATCTATCTTTGACTCTATACAATTGAGGAAATTACACATACACACAGTATTAGATATATATGTTTAACAGAGCATAGAATTCCAATACATCAGAATAGAAAACCTATATTTTGAAAAAAGTAAAATGTACCTTTTATGTTGGTGGCAAAATTCAAGGCCAATTTTGCAAAAAGATCTGGATTCTCAAATTTCTCTTCTTTTACTTTTAACCAGACACAGTTTTCAGATAAGTCTTTAGGCTCAATCTGAAACAAAAATAATCAAGATTACTTTCTAAATTATTACTACTTTTCAAAGAATTCATGTTCAGTAAAGTTAAATGAAAATCATTTTATCTATCTACTAAAACAATTGCCAGATTTCTCTTAAAACAAATAAATATTCACTAAAAAACTGTCAGAATTCTACTTGTATGTGGAAAGTTAAACCAAAGCAATAGGCCATTTATAAAATAATATTTAAAATATAACTCTCTGGAAAGGAACCTTGAAAATAATTTAGTAAATCCCCTTCAACTCACAAACATTATTCTTGTTTATTGATGATTTCTTAAACTGGAAAGCAGACTCAGAAAAGTTAATTTCCTATATTCCTTGATAAAATTCAAGACAATAAACATAATATTTCATACTATGTGCCAAGGTATTGTTGTAAGTGAGTTGGACACATTAACTTACCCAAGCCTAACAATAAACCTTTAATATAGAACCTATTAGTATTACAAAACTTAAAAAAAAAGGAAGCTTCCCAAACTAATAAATGGCAGAGCTAGGATTTAAATCTAAAACATCTTGTTCAGAGAACTGTTTATCTTCATGGCAACACAATGCTTTTATGAACTGTAAATATCATGACAACATGTGCTAAATAATGGAATGTCTCATCACATTTACATAGATAAGTAAAACCACAGATTATGGATCATATATTTGGTGACTCATTCTTAATTAAATATTTGGTGGCTCGTTCTTAATTAAAAACAACCACAATCTGAGACCATGTATATGTGAGGAATCACTTTAGGTATGTTCTTGGACATATGTAAATGTTTTTCCATTAGAAGAGAAATTCCCAATGATGAAAGAGGACTTTGAAAATCTCTGTAGTTATTAAAAAGGAAGCATATTGTTTGATAATATTAACAAAGCAAAAAAAATTCATTGGAAAGTATTTTCATATCCATTGAAAAATAAGTTATACGACTGTTCCATATTGTTACTTATTCTATCTGAAAGCTTAAAGTTAAAAACAGAATCACTCTAATAGCAAAATTCACTAAGATAACAAGGTTCAGTAACAAAAATGGTTATATTATAATCTTCTTATATTATATATTATATATATGTGTAGCTATATATATGTAGATATATACATATATGTGTAGCTGTATATATGTATACATATATGTATATATCTACATATATTATACTACAAGCCAGGTACCAGTGGCTCAGACCTGTTATCCTAGCTACTCAGGAGACTAAGAACTGAAGATAGCAGTTATCTTCAATTAACTACCACAAAAGCTGGAAGAGGAGCTATGACTCAAATGGTAGAGAGATAGTCTTGACTACAAAAAATCATGGACAGAACCCAGGCCCTGAGTTCAAGCCTAAGAAACCAATCCCCCACAACACCACATACAAACTACAGTACTGAACATTAACAATGTTAAAAGAATTCAAACAATTCAAACCATTATTCACTTGCTTGTGTATTTCCTGTATTAGTCTCTATATCCCTTTGATTTCCTTTTGCCTTCCTCATAATTTTGGAGGCAGGGTTAGCTCATGTTATCTGGGTATCAGATAACATGATTGCTTTCCTCACAAAGGAAAGCAATATAGTTAGCAAACACCATCTCAAACATTCTGGAGAATTTACACATAGCAAAGCACTTGTCATACCTTAATGGTCAACCATGACCAGAAAAAGGCAAAATACTTATTAAGTATTACCTTTGACCAATTGATTCTCTTCATGGACACTTCGGGCTTATAGATTTTTTTCTGTTTCATTCCATATGGTAGACTCACAGACACTCCTCCAGGGGGAGGTGGTGGTGGAGGAGGTCCCCCAAACAAAGGTGGTGGTGGTGGTGGAATACCAAGCATTCCAGGTGGTGGGGGAGGACCTGCTCCAAGTAGAGGTGGAGGTGGAGGTGGTGGTGAACATGGCCCAGCACCAGAAATGGGAGGAGCTGGGGAAGGCCCTGTAGTACCAGATGAACCAGAGAATACCTGAAAAAGAAATGATCCAAGATTATATGTCTATAAGAAAAAGCAGCAGAAAGAATATACATAGGTAGACATTTGTGCTTTAACATATCTGTCTTATTTCATGTTTAATATTATGTGCTTTAAAAGATTATGGAAGGGACTTTAGAAAATTTCCTAAATGTTATAAACTAGATAGTAATTACAGCAAGACCTAAATGCTAAAGTTAACAGTTGCTAAAATTTTGCAAAATATTCCTCTAAAACAATGAAAAAATAGCCTTCATTACGAATACGTTCAAAGAAGAAGTATATACAGCTTGTTCCTGTTGGACTATTTTGATTAAGTAAAGAATATTTAAAACAAGTTCATGGACTCAATTCCTGTGGGGGCCAATTACCTTTACACAAGAGTGTTTCACAGCACCACTGACCTAGCTGTCTTCTAATACCAATGATTAATACTAAGTAGAATCCATCTAAATAGTAATATGTGCCTTATCAACATTTTTACATCAATTATATCTTTTTATCCTTTATATAAACCTTGTAATGCATATGGGGCACTTTGAGCTCACCTTCACCTCAGTGCTGATAGATGAGAAAAGAGTAAGTACAAAAATCTTAATGACTAATCAAAGTTGCACAGTCAGAGATGTGATTAAAATTTGAATGTACTTCTCTGCAGAGCAATTGTGCTATTCCCAGTACAGCATAATATTCACTATATACTAATTTATGAAAAGTTATCATTTGTCAAAAAAATAAATTTTGAGCAGAAAATATTACTTCTACTGTTGTGGAAAAACTAAGTTGATTCTCTAATATCAGTGGAAAACATTTTACTGCATATAATATTACTTTTGATAAATAAAATCTATACCAATTTTCTAAGAGTTACTAATCACATGCTAATTTTGAAACAATAAATACAAAGACTTCTTTAGTAACCACAATATGACATTAGAAAGGTTTAAAACAAAAGAAATTTTTTGGTATGTTATTTTTATTTGTGATGAAGTCCTTTAGTCTTTACTAAAATGAAGTTTTAGCTTGAAATATTGGATAGAGCTAACTTACAAATATCTCTGCAAAATAAATAAGTTAAAGCATATCTTGGAAATAATTTAAATGACATTCCTATTTACAAAAGTATTAAGATTTTTTTCATTCATAAGTATATTTGATTATGGAAATGTTGCCCATAATATTCACTGTAGTTATAAATGTGAATATGCATGTGTGTACATACACAAAATATAGAGGTAAAGTCTTTCTAATCCTTAAATGAAAATCCTCTCCTAGAAGGATATTATATTCTGAGATCAGGAAATATAACACAGGATGAAAACATGAAAAATTCTTTTAACTTTGTGGTTAATGTGCAAAATTATGTCTGACTTTCACAGTCTTGACTGAGATTAAAGAAATTAAAAATGGATGAAAGTTTAGGAAATTAGCAATTTATTTTATAGGTTCTGCATTCAGATGGGTTTTTCTGAGTACTTTGAAAGGCAAATTTTCTCCCATATTTTTATTAATAGATAGCAAATTAAAATTATAAAATGGTAAATTTATCAACATTGGCCAAATATTTAGCTTTATTAAATATTTCCTATGAAGCTTATAAAAGTATGAAATGTTAGGATTTAAAATAGAACTTGCCAGATGCCGGTGGCTCACGCCTATAATCCTAGCTACTCAAAGCCAGTCCCTGCAGGAAAGTCCATGAGACTCTTATCTCCAATAAACCACTCAGAAAATCGGAAGTGGCACTGTGGTTCAAGTGGTAGAGCACTAGCCTTGAGCTGAACAGCTAAGGGACTGTGCCCAGGCCCAGAGTTCACGCCCCATGACCAACAACAACAATAAAAATAGGACTTTAGTGGTAAGCTGGAGCTTCAATTTCAAAGGGGATGTTTAACATGCATAGATGAGCAATAGTTAGTCTTTCTAACATGGAATAAAATAAGCCAACAACGCTCAATGTTCTCAGGTCTATGAAAAGTCTGTTTCCATTAGATATTAATAAGCATTTGGTTAAACTGTTTTGTCATCAAAGGAACCAGAAAGTTATATGAAAAAGAGTATCATTTATGCATGTGTGCCAGCAATGGGGCTTGGACTTGGGGCCTCGTGTTCTCCCTTGGCATTTTTGCTCAAGGCTAGCGTACTACCAACTGAGCGACAGCTCTATTTCCAGCTTTATGATGCTTAGGAGGAGATGAGTGCTCTGGATTTTTCAGCTCAGGCTTGCTTTACACCTCAATCTTCAGATCTCAGATTATGTCAGTGTCCTGAGTAGCTCAGATTATAGGCATGAGACACCAGCTGATCAGTGAACAGCTTCTTCAATGTAGGCTATCTGAAACTCTTTAAAGTTACTATTATAAATCTCCAAGAAAGAATTTCAGGTGTTCAAAATATGGAGTTTAGTGAAAAACTCTAACGTATAGGAAATATCAATAGAAGGAAAAGTATATAAGCAGAAATTTATAGACGAACAAGAAAATGTAACTCAGCTGCAGGAGAGATTGTAGTTAGAGGTATAATCAGGAACCATGCTACAAAGCGCAGATAAGGCCATGCCAGAATACCTTAAAATTCCTGGCAAGGAGATTTTATTCAATAACACAAGTAACAACTATTGGAGTAATAATACTGTTTTTACGAAGATTAATCTCCTCTCCCATAAAGGATGAATTTGAAGAGGAAGAGACAGGAAGAAAAGTATCTTTTGTAACAGTGCAGGCAAAGTGTAATGGGTATGAGTTTAAGGGATGGGATTTTGAACCAAGAGGGGGAAAAGTCAGATAATCAATTTACATTAAACAGAGATAAATTTAGTTTGTCTAGAAAGACAGAGAAAGGTAAAGAATATACCAACCTTGCTGTTATAAAGGAAAAACAACAAAATAAAAAACGGAGACCAAGCTTTGATGTGAGGAAGGAGGGAGGGAAGAAAACAAATATAGCTTGATTTCAACATGAAACAGAACATTCCTACGGGGATAGCTAGAAATGGAAGACAGACTCACAAGACTTGACACTTACTAAAAAGTGATATTTCACAATAAGACACCAAATGGGAGGTCTGTACCAAGATATACATAGGGAAGGAAAAAAAAAAAAAAAGAAGAGCAGAGAACAGAAAAGAGGGGATGCCAAACTAAACAGAAACTGAATTCTCATTTAAAAGGGGAAATCACATGATATAAGGAAATGATAAAATATTGTACATTAATAAAGCAGGACACAGGCAGGAAAACATACCAGTAAGGAACTTTTCAATATATTGATGGGATAAGACATAGTAAATCAACTATCCCTAAGGAGTATTCACTATGTAAACATACTCTCATTTCTTAATATTCATTTAAAACATACAGTATATTGAGGAGGGTACTCAATCTATTCTGAAGTTTAGATACCATAAATAAGATTACAAATGCATACAGGAGCTTATCATCCAAGGGAAATATAAAGTGCATAGGTTTTCAAATGGCAGTAGTTTAGATTAAAAAGGGATCTGAAAAAGTTTTTGGGATAATTAAAATTAATGAGCATTTCCATATTCTTTTGGAAATGAAATACTATACACCCAATTTTTCATATTACAATGAAAATTGTATCTCAAAAACATTTTGCTTGTGACATATATTCTGTTAAAAAATTCAGGACAGTTTGAGAAATTGATGCTTTATTTTTTTTCTAAACATTAAAACAATATATTGTGCAGGAAGATCAAATTTAAAATTATTTCAAGTAAGTGAGAAACAGTTAAAAATAATCTATTTCCAGTCACAATTTTCTTTCTATCTAAAAAGATAATGTTCTACCATCCAATTTACTATGACATGACATAAAGTCTATATCTAGTTTCATTACCTGGGTTCGAAGTTGCTGGATTTCTGTTTCTAGCTCTTTGATTTTTTCTTCTTTTTTTTGAAGCTCAGCCTGAGCTTCCTGTCGAGCGGTGAATTCTTCATCGAACTGCAATGATCAACATGATAAACATACAGCTAAGAATATACTATTGAGAAAGCTTCAAACATTATGTACTAAACAAGTGGAATGCTTAGCCTGGTCCAAAAATCACTCTGAAAATTAGAACTTTAAGTATCCACTTTGGTAAGTGATACTTAAGAGAGAATATGCCCCCAACCATCCATGATAAGCAAACCCATTTGACTTTTTAAAAAATATTTTTTAAATAGTTAGACTAAGAAATGTCTGTTCAAGTATTATGAGTACTTTTCCAGCTTTAGTATTTAAAATATGATTATAGAGTATGTACGAATCCTTCAACCCATACTTTTACATTTAATATACTAGAACATGAAATCCAAAAATATACCACTAAGAAGTTTCAACTCCCTAATTATATTTAAGCTTGAAGAGACTGAAATTTCAGAAGGCACAAATGAGTTATATTAACAGGAACTAGAATGTTTCTATGAAAATCTTAATTGCCTAGCATCAAAAAAGCAGTGTTCCACAAAATATGACAATAGAATGATATATGCAATGTTCTCTGCGGATGAATGAAAATTTTCTTTAAAAGTGATTTTTATTAATTTTATTAATTTTATTTTATTGTAAAGATGCTGTACAGAGGGGTTACAGTTACATGAATAAGGCAATGAATACATTTCTTGTGGAGCACTGTTACCCCTTCTTTGGTTGTTCTCCCACAATCTCTTCCCTCCTCCACTTCCCAAACTACCCCCACCCACCCCGTCAAGTTGTAAAGTTCATTTTCAATATACTTTCTTGTACCATTGTTGCAATGGGTCATCCTGTGTCCTTGTTTCAAAGTTTTTTTTATTCCTCTTCCTCTCCCCAAGTTAGACAAATGTATATACAAGATGTAGGTACCAAAATCAAGTACAGTGACAACAGCGATATACCATAGGGAGAAGAACATACAAAAAAATTACATAGTACATTTCAAAAAACAGCAAAGAAAGACCTATTGTATCCATATCTTGGGGTTCATTTCACTTAGCATCATCTTATATGGTCATATGTATATATATTTTGACCTTTCTCTGTTCATCTGATGAAATTATCCTACATGTATACTAATTATTGCAAATAAGGGAAACCATGGGACCTATATTTCTTTTGGCCTAGCTTACTTCACTTAATGTGATTTTTTTCCAGGTCGATCCATTTCCTAACAAATGGGACAGTGTCATTCTTACTGATGGAAGCATAGAGTTCCACTGTGTGGGGGGGTGGGGTGGGGGTATTTTTATATACATATATGTTATTATCTTGATCCATTCATGTACTGAGGGGGATCTGGGTTGGTTCCTTATCTTAGCTATAGTAAATAACACTGCAATAAACATGGTTGTGCTGGTAGCTTTAGTATGGTCTTGCTTGGGATCATTTGGATAAATGCCCCAAAGTGGGATTGCTGGGTCATAGGGGAGCTCTCTGTGGAGTCTTTTGAGGAACCTCCATACTGCTTTCCAAAGTGGTTGAACAAGTTTACACTCCCACCAACAGTGTAGAAGGGTTCACTTTTGGCCACATTCCCTCCAGCGTCTGTTGTTACTAGTTTTCTTCATAATAGCCATTCTAACTGGGGTGAGGTGGAATCTCAATGTTATTTTGATTTGTATTTCTTTTATGGACAGAGAAGTTGGGCATTTCTTCATGTGTCTATTGGACATTTTTATTTCCTCTTCAGAGAAGTCTCTCTTTTAGTCTTTATCCCACTTATTAATGGGGCGGTTGTTCCTTTGAGGATTTGTTTAAAGATAGTGGAGGGAAAAATACGGGGAGAATGGGGGAAAGGGTAATATTGAGCAAGAAACATTATACTCATAACCTGACTTGCATAACATCTATGTACAACTACTTATAATAATAAGTTTTTGAAAAAGAGAAAGACTTTTTAAAAAGATGGAAAATGAGAGGTGAAAATACAATGTATGAAACCAGATCCTATGTAAACAGTGAATATACATTTCCTATAGCTTCTCATATCTCTTACCTTCGTACAAGCTCTATGCAGGTACAAAGTGGCCAGCACAATTACAGTGAATACTGTATAGGTCCAGATACAAACCATTTTATTTGTCTTTTATTGTCAATGTCATCTCAAGTCATTGAAGAGATCTGCATATTATTCCAACAATGTTGTTACTGTTCCCAAAACATAAATTACTGTTCACATCGATCTTTATACTTTTGTCGAACAATGAAAAACTATTTAAAGTGTTAAAAGTCATCCTCATTTAACCTTTGGAAATTTCAGAATGCTATTCTCATCTATAAGCAGCCAGGAAAACTGGATGATGATACTATTTAGTCAAATTTGAAATACAAATTAGTAAGGCTTTTACTCATCTCTACTTGAATCCCTGGACAATGTCTCAATATTCCATAAAGACTGGTCCAAATCATCTTGAATATCTTTTAATTTCAAAATGATCTAAGAGAGCGAGAGATCCTATATTGTGAACATCTGCAAATTCATGACTACCCATGTTATCTGAATTTATAGTGAAATACCACCATCCAAAGTTCACTTCTCCTTTGTGGTATTCAAGGATGGCATCAATACAAATACACTGCATACAATTTTTCCCTATAAATGATACATTTAAAAGAGGCAAATGATATTTCTGTTTTTAACTTAAAGTTATCTGTCAATATACAGAATAGGAATCACAAAATCCTGAAATATGTCATCTAAAAGAGTTTTTGTCATGAATTCACTTTTTGATGATGAAGAAACTAAACTCCAAAAAGAATAAATAGCTTACTTGAAGTTTAGTTCAAATGCTAACACCTGCCAGAAATTTTTTAAAAAATATTTAGTGTATATGAATTGTGGGGGTATCAATAAGGTTTTCATTGATATGTAGGTAGGTAGGAAGGGAGAGAGGTAAGGAGGGAGGGATAGAGTGAAGGAGGTTTTTGGATGGATGGATGAATGGATGGTTGATGGATAGATAGATATATTATATATATATAGCAGTTACTGCATCAAATTCACCTTCTCCTTCACTCTTCTCATCCCTATACCTCCTTTCTTAAAAGAATTTCTACTAATTTCACTGACACTTTTGTAAAAACTACTTTACACTTTCTCTCAAAATGAGAGAACTATAGGAATACATGTAAGTATTGAGTACATTACCTCAATACATTTCCATTATAAATGTAGGGGGTGTAACTGAAGCATTAAAAACTGACATTTTTTTCCATAAAATCATGACTCCTTTCCCCATATTATATGTATACCGATAACATTACTAGATTTAATCATGCTCTAATCTTCTGGTATGTACCCAAGGAATAGTCAAAAATTAAGGAGATACTAAGATTTGCAGAAGAAATTCTAAGAGTTGTATTTAAAGCAAACATTCAAAATATAAATGTCTATTAATCAAAAAGTATTCATTTTCCTTTGCCAGTAAAAGTGATAGCTTTACACAAACATTATACACAAAGCTCAAGCTCTTAAAACCATTCTGGTAACTAAAAGAGCAAAGACATTTTCTCCAGATGCCCTAAAGTAAGTCTATAATTTCCAAAGTGATTATCTAATCTCCAAGGTGAGTCATAACTTTGAAAAGAAAGCAATATGTAAGCACATTATCATGCTGTCAGAAGACTGAAAACGGGAGAACTTTTAGAGTATGCTTCAGAATCTTATATTAAGTGAAGCAAGTGAGCCCAAAGAAACATAGGTCCCATGGTATCCCTTATTTGCAATAACTAGTATACATCTAGGATAATCTAACGAAACAAGCAGAAAAGGTCAAAAGCTATGTTCATATGACCATATATTAGATGATGCAAGAGAAATGAACCCCAAGACAGGGACAAAAGAGGTTTTTTCTTTGTCACTGTTGTTTTTAATGTATTGTGAGATTTTTTTTTGTTTCTCTTGTATGTTCTTCCCCCATGCTATAACCCCTATTTTCACTGTATTTGATTTCTGTGCTCTCCATCTTGTATATACATTTGTCTAATTTGGGGAGAGGGAGGGAAATAAAATGCTGAAATAAGGATACAGGTTGACCTGTTGTAACAATGAGATGTACAAGACACTATGTTGAAAAGGAACTTCACAACTTCGGGGGGGGGGGGGGGGGGAGGGGGGAGGGAGGTGGTGGGGTGGTGGGGAGGGAAGGAATGGTAGGGAAAAAACAAAGGAGGAGGTAACAAATTGCTCAATAGGAAATGTATTCATTACCTTACTTATTTAACTGTAAACCCTCTGTACATTATATATAAAGAAGTAGTGACTACAAACAATTGAGTCTAAACTGGAGGGAACAAAGCATCAGGAAGAACCATTCAATATCCTATTGATGACCACAGCTCCAAAATTTTGGTAAATACCTTACAGACCTCTAATACAAGTAAAAGCTACAGGAAAGCAATGTGGGAGTTTGTCTTGGGTATTTCTTTTCTTCTCTTACTTTTTTCTTTTTCTTTCTTTCTTTTTTGTTGTTGTTGAAACACCAGGACTCCAACTCAGCATCTGATGCTTGGCTCATTAGCTGGTATTCTACCAAGTAAGCCACACCTTCACCCCCAAGAGTTGGGTAATTCTTTTCATTTTGGTTTTAGTTGTTTGTAACTATGTCCTTTCAGCAACCTAGTTTTCTTTGATGTGTCATTGTTAATATAATATGGAGGCTAGTTGTCTTCTTACATGAGATTAAAGGGAATGAGGAGAGAACAGTAATAGTATTCTATCATTAGAACATAAATATTCTATGGTTATGGTTGAATCCAGAAAAGCAAAGTACTACCTAACTAAAACAATTTATAAGGTTTCATATAAAGAAACAAGTAGAATACACACTGTGATTAAATGTTTGATTGAACAGTTATGGCTAATATTCTATTTCTTACCTTTTTTGAAAATTCTGCTGCTTTTTGTTCACTTTCTTCAACTTTTGCCTTGTTCACACAGGAATCTGTGCAATTAGAAATTATGGCATGAAATCTCTACCAAAGATGGCTGCCAGTATAATTCTATACAGAAGGTATATATTTTAATGCTAGCTAGGCTGTTTCATTTGATCACTTCATCTCTCCTCCTCAATGCATTTGATTAGCAGCATACAATCATAAGTACCTAGCACACAGCACACAAAGCAAATGTCTGCTGAACTCCAATAGAGCTAGCAAAATTCAACAGTAAAGTTTGTGTCAACTAACATCTCTATTTAATCATAGCCAATGTATGTAACGTGGAAAAAATCCCATATCACTCCCTCTACAAAATATAAAATAAAACTATTCAGTTAGTCATTCTCAGTGAAAAAATATGAAGTTTTGCTGATGTTGTAAAGTGGGATAAGCTGACTGAAAAGAATTTGGCCTTTGAAAATTTATATTCAACTTTCTAGCAGTCAACCCTAAGAAAATAATGAGAGAAAGTCAAACATTCATGTACAAAAATGTTTACAGAAGGTTCATTTATAATTGTCAAAACCTGAAAACAATTAAGATGTGTAATAATGAAGGACTACCAAAGGTAGATGATAGTCGATGAAGTGGAGTATTATGCAAACATTAAGGGTTGTACTTTGAAGGTTTGCACAGATCATATTACATACATGACACTCCATTGATGAATATCAACAGAGATATACAAAAATACATAAAGTATTGAATATTATGGCAAGCCTACCCTGTGCAATGCAGTGAAAAATAATACGTAATTGGCATCCAACAGCTGTTCCTTTCCTTCTTTAAAGACGTTTGTGAATGTTTGAATCTTAGTAATGATTATTTTAATTAGTTATAAATAAAACCACTTTACTATACAAAGCCATGTAGCACCACATATTTCCCAATCCTACTTAAGTTTTTCAACCTACTGAACATTATTCTAGATAACTACTAGTGATTATATAAGGACATTTCCTCAGCAATCATAGTGAAAGAATAAGATCACCTCAAATTCTTCCCTAGCTGTACCATCTCTGAAATACAGACTCATCTACTTGATAGTCTTGAAAACTCTTCTAATTTGCTGAAATAAGACTGTATTTCTTTTTTTCAATCTTGAGAAGTAATAATATAGCTATACTACCAATGAGATCCTACTGTACATACAATAACACTACAAAAATCTCATAGGTGCCAGGCTGACCCATTGTAACAATGAGATGCACAAGACACTATGTTGAAAAACAAACTTTACAATTTAGGCGGTGGGGGGGGGGGGGGGTTGTTGTTGTGGAGGTAGGAGGAGAAAAACAAAGGAGGTAACAATGCTTGATAGGAAATTTACTCATTACCTAGCTCATGTAACTGTAACCCCTCTGTACAGTATTTTAACAATAAAAACATATAGAAAACATGAATTAAACGATTTCAGCATAAGGGTATTAAAAGGGTAACACTCATCTATAATATTAAAATTTTGTATGGATCTGAGTTTAAATTAACCTCAGTAGTGTTGAAGCTTATCAAGCAGGCTAATATGTCTGATCAAAGAACTCTCAGGCTCATTATTAAAAATTAATAGCATTTTGGTTTGGCACTGTATTTTTTCCCATTGATTTAGTGGTTGATGACAGGTTGTATAATATGATCAGGTTCAGTATATAATTATAGATGCGTCTACTTGTGTAAATGTTGAAGTGCAATGATGTACAAAAAGTGGGTTCACATGTTTTTAACAATAAACCACTGATAAAAATTAATAGCAATTGAGTACAAATAAATACAATGATGTACAAGTAAGCAACAGAAATTTACTGAGAGGTGTACCTTTTAAGAAAGTGCCTACTATATAGAGGGTATAAAACACAACTGACCATAAGGATAGTATTCCTTCCATACCTATCAGATGAGTGAAATCAACGTCTAATCTTTGCCTATACTTGAAGTCTGGGTCCATACCACTGCAGTGCAGTACAATCTGTGAAACACACTCCTCAATTATTTTATAATACTGGGGCCTGAAAAACAGAAAACATTTGTGAATGCTTTTTGAACCTATACAAACTGAGTCTCTTAGGAAGGACTCAGTATAGACAAAAATCTAAGTTTTTTTTTTCTGGTAATACAAAACAAAAAACAACTCTCTCCAAGGATAGTCTGGAACGTATGTTGCCAAATTCATTGGCATGAAATAGAGTGCAAATATGTAGTGCTATAATGTTCTACTTTGCAGGGATTCATGCTTGTGTTCAAAGATTCCTGTGAACCTTATCCATCCACCTATTGTTCATAAATTTGATGAAAATAAATGATTCCTCAGTTCTGTATCCATGAATATAAAAATGTTCTACACATCCAAATGTTCTCAATTTCAATACGTAATAAGTCGCTTGGCAAGCAATGTCTTGAATTTACTGCAGCATGTATACTGATAATGGCTATACAGCTTACAAAACTGCACTGACGTATTTAAGTTACATAACACTCCAAACATCTATGCAACATTTATTTTTAAAAAATTCATTTTATAAAAGCATAGATACTTAATATGCATCACTATAGTGGCATACTGTTTTAAGTGTCAAAGATTTTAAAATATCTCTTAGTTCTGAAATCTATCAAGGTAATTCTGGCCTCAAAAAATACCACTCACATATTGCAAAACTGGCTTGTTTTTTAAGCCACTTTTTGCATTAAACTCTGAGGAAGATATAGTATCTGGCATGCACTAATAAACTCAACAGGGAAAATTTAGTAAAAAAAAAAAAAAATACTACTGTATCCAGGCTACAGTACAGTTATCTAGCTACTCCGGAGGCTGAGATCTGAGGATCATGGTTCAAAGCCAGCCTGGGCAGGTAAGTCCATAAGAATCTTATTTCAAATTAACCACCAGCAAACCAGAAGTGGCACTGTAGCTCAAGTGGTAGAGTGCTCGCCTTAAGTTGAAGAGCTCAGGGACAGTGCCCAGTCCCATAGTTCAAGTCCTACAACTGAACAAAAAAAGAAAGAAAGAAAGAAAGAGAGAGGGAGGGAAGAAAGAAGGAAGGAAGGAAGGAAGGAAGGAAGGAAGGAAGGAAGGAAGGAAGGAAGGAAGGAAGGAAGGAAGGAAGGAAGGAAGGAAGGAAGGAAGGAAGGAAGGGAAAAAAAAGCACTACTGTATACAAATCATGATCTAAATGCCCATTAAATATAGCTTGTCAACCTGCTAAAAGTGTGAAAATGAAGCAAACATATTGTAATTGTTCTTCTATGTCTTGGGGTTGGCCTTAGGATTAAGAGTCAAAAAGCAAGACAGACTACGCATTGCGGACTTTTTTAAGTCACCATCAGATTTAAGGTAATTAATAGGATCCTTATAGTAAAGTTGGTGATTGTTTGGGTGAATAAGGAAAATGAAACCATTCTCTCTGAAGCATGGTGAACCATCCACAAGTAAAATAAAATTGTGTCACACTTCTACTTCACAGGGATGCTCTTAGGATTAAAAGGAGGCCATTTGTGAGTAACAGCTCATTTCTTCATACTTACTGTGCAACAGGGGAGCTTCATACAAATGGTGCCCCCAGGGTAAGTGAGTACTCCTCGGGCATTGTTAAGTGTGTAATTTAGAAAGCCAAAATCATTTTTACCATTATCTTTCCTGTGCGTAAACAACATATAACTTAATATTTTAGCCATCTTCTGTGTCTCTGTAATAGGATATCCATCAGATTCTTGTACTGGCCTGAACTATAATAATGCTCTATATTGTTTGAGAGTTTTCATCTTTGTTACACTTCCCTTCAATCAAACAGGTTTGGAGAAATCAGGAAACCTAGCTTGTCAGAATTTCATGCAAATTAGCATAAAAAGAACAGTTAAATATAACACCATGGTCACTAGCTTATAGACAACTTTAATCACTAAGAAATTTTTCATAACATTCCAGTTTTCAGATCTATATCTCATTAATAGAATCTATAACTTTAAACTCTATGGGCTATCATTAAACTTATTTATGTTGAAAACTTACATTTAAGTGAAACATTATTTTCTTAGAGACTAAGATGACATTTTTACTAAATAAAAACAAAAATAATGGAAACACACTGCTTATTAAGATTTGTAAGATAGAAAATGTTCTATAATCTTCAATGTACTGTGCGTTACCATTATCTGTTACTTATAGTCTTCTGGATTGAATACCCCAATTAAAAATAAATTATTGTAATGTTACAGAAAGCTATGAAAGTGCATACATTCTATGTATGAATATATTATCCAGGTAACACTGAATTGTTAATTTTCCTTTAGTACAATTTAGTTCAATTGTAAGTATACTAGTCCCAGAAGTGTCTCTTACCTGATATAATAATCATTTCTGATCAGCAAAAAATGTTGTAGAATGGATAAAAAATAAGTTTCAGCAGCAGTGTCTTTCAACATATTATACAGAAGATGGTATACTTCATTCATATCAGTAGAAAATAAGTAAAGGAAAACAACTAGACTTTTGATGAATGTTGCATTAAAAAAGCAGCTTAATTTCTCAAAATATAGACTTATAATTTTGCTTCCATTACTGTTTCCAAACCTTCAGCTCCATGCATGATAAGCATTTGAAAATTTATCTAAAGAAAATACTATGTAATTAATAAAATATTTTAATTAGAGAAGCAAATGTAAAGACCATTTTCAAGATCATTTGGCTTCCAAAATCTTAAATGATCTTTCCTTCATCGTTTTGTGAAGTCTACATTCTAGTTAGTACCACTGGAATAGCAATGCCATTTATAAAAATGGTATGTTGTTATTCTCACTGTGGTTTTCATAGACAGCTTAATTATTTATTCAATACACTACTGTTCTTTTTTCCCTTCCAAATGAGAGAGAAGAAAATGAACAACTTCTTAACTACTAAAACCCACAAAACTAGTTTTAGTTTGTCAAAATGAAATACTAATCTGAAATTATTAGTTGACTTCATTTGTATTTTATTACATAATAAAACATGAAGGCTAAACACAAGAGAGATTGAAACATTCTTTTCTTAGAATATAAAAAAATAGTAGATTACTTTTATAGGTGGAACAATTTTTTTTTATTGTCAAGGTGATATACAGAGGGGTTTCAGTTACATAAGTAAGGTAATGAGTACATTTCTTGTCAATCTTGTTACCCGTTCCCTCAATTTTCTCCTACTTTCCCTCCCCCCAACCCTTCTCCAAGTTGTACAGATCATTTCCAACAAAGTCTTGTGTATATCGCTGTTGCATTGGTTCCCCCCTCGTCCCTGGCATAAAACAAAGAAAGAAAAATGGGTGAAATTCAAATGTCTAGAAAGAAGCAAAAATGGCTTTAAAACTTATATTTGTTATATTTCGCTAAACTGTTATTTGAGTGATAATTTAACTCATTTTCTTGTTTAATGTTTGGTGGCTCTTCTTTACTATGATGTGACTGTTTATAGAGTATTCATAGTAGGAGAGGGCCTGAGTCCCTAGATTTGAACCCATGTCTGTTCTTTGTCATCTGAGCATATGGGAACATTGTGGTCCATTTTTTTGTATCTCAATTTTCTCATTTGTTAGAAGTATTGATAACTAGAAGCATTATATCATGACTCAGCACAAGATAACAAATCTCAGGTATGTAGATCAAGACTGGTGAATGGTGCTACATATATGCTGTCTTATGTTTATGAAAAGAGTCTGAAAAATATTAGTATGATTTTTACTTTTTAGAAAGGACACGTGTTCACTAGAATAGATACATAGACAGATAGGTAGATATAGACATAGTGTCCATTACGATGTTTTGATGTGTGTATAAATTATAGCACTGGTAATTTAAACTTGTTGCTATGTGCTTGAATTTGCATCCTATTAGTAACTTTTCCAGAAATTTTCAAATAAAAAAGAAAAAATATAGTAGATGAGTAGATACTTTTCGTATATGAGAAAATAATTTCAAAAATGGATTCATTTTTATTACAAAACTGTGCACTTGTAAAACCAATGTAAAATAAAAGTAAAAAAGAATATGTAATCCAGCATTCTAAAAACAACCTGGAATCTCAACATTTTTTCTGATGTAGAATTAAATGTAGATTGAATTACTACTTAGATACCATGTAGGAATGTAGAGTTAAACTATCATAAGGTCCCTTGAAATGTAGAGGATGGATACAAAGTCAAATTTAGGAGATATCTATAAGAAGAAACACATTTATTATTGATATGAAAATATTTACTATTAGAGAAGCCAATGTAGACCAGTGTCACAAATCTTGGGTAAGAAATTACTACAAATTATTCCTTATAATAATGTCAGTGTTGTTCATTGCATACACACTTATCAAATACTGGCATGTAGGAATTCAGTAGGAACACTGGAGACGAAAAGATGAAATAAATTATTTCTGCCCACAATCTCAGAGGGGCAGAGAAGTAAATAAAATAGAAAAAATAAGGTACTATGGGAGTTTCATGTAAAGGAATATTACTTCAGCTTTATTCGAAGGCTTGAAGATAAAGGAAAAGAACGTATCAATAAAAAAAAGTGGAGCTCAAAGGTGACTTTGATTTGGAATGTATTCCCATGTACTATAATCAATAAGATAGGTATATAAATGAGTGTGAAACAAATGGGCAGCCATGATATGACCAACACCTCTAAGATTTTAGATTATTTAACATCACATCATTACCCGAAGAAAACTATGAGCTAGCTGTATTGACTCAGCTACTTCCACAACATGCCTTGATATAATCAGATACTATAATAGCTAAAATATTTTTCCTATTTTTAAGAAACACAAATATCTTATATGCAATGGAACACTGACTTCTACTGAATAACATAAACTGAAAATGTGTATCAGCCATGTCACATGTGAAATCAGCGAACATTTCCTCATATATTTTTATATAATGTGCACTGGTTTAGGCTCCTGTCTATTGGAGAACATTGGGCAGAAGTTACGTATAATACAGTAAGCCACTTTACTGATCTTAGTATAATCTATGCAAATCAACAGGATGGCCTGATGATTCCTTAACATGAATCATAGTCAGTCATAATCTCACAGTGAGGGTCCAAAGCAAATAAATGGGTATAATATGAGATAGCCTATAAGAATTCTAATAATGGCCCACAAAATCACCCACAAATACTGTTTACACAAGTTATTTGCATAGTTTATCAAAGGATATTCCATTTCAGCTCGAACGTCATTGAGACGGTGTGATAGTTCAGTTATGTCATCTTCTTTATTCTCATCAAACACTCTTAATTGAATATCAAGTTCATCATTTTCTTTTTCTTTGAGATCCTAATATATAAGTAGAAAATTTAGCAAAGGAATAACAGTTTAACAACAGCATATTTTGATAATAAGGAAAAGAAAGCAATTATTAATTTATACCCACAGGAACAATTTCAAATATTAACCTAGGCATTTGGATGTAGCTAAATTTTGTTACTTCAAAATAAAAGAACCTCATTGTTTCCACTTTATTGCCCCAGATAGATTATTCACATTAAAAAAATAACAATCACTTCTACAACAAGAAAACGAAACACTAATTGCTAAAGGCCCAAATTAAATTTTTCTGTTTTGACTTAACATACTAATCAAAGATTGCTAAAGAATTCATGCAGTTAGAACATTCATGTATGCCTCTGTCCAAAAAAATAAATAGAAGACACATAGGAATCGATTATATTAATGAAGAATAAATGCAAGGATATATTCAAGCAAAGCAGTCCCAAGTATGGCGTGAAAGAGATTATACAAATTTATATTAAATATTTTGTGATTTTTAAACCAAAAAAAATGCAAGGAAATGGTATCAAGCTCTATTTTATGCCAATTTTTTTTGTCTTAGCATAATGACAGAATAGCAACTTGAGGCATTCAATTTTTATTTTTGTAATACATCATTAGGACATGCATTACAAATTTCTGATAATTTTCAAAGTAATAGCAGAAAATAATTGTAAACATGCCACACTAGAGGACCTCTATGTATATTATGCTGCAGTTTTCATAATAAAAATGAATAAACACAACTGTGGTTGCTTAAGGGTGATAGCAAAAGAGGTACTAAGATGTTCAGAGTTGAATTCTAAGAGGATATGTAAGCATGATGTACTTCATATTAGGTAAATAAAGCAAAATGGAATGCAATTATAGAGATGTAAAAGCTATTACTAAAGCCAAACACATATCTAAGGAATTTCTCCATCTTCCTTCTCTAGTATTCACGAGCAAATTTGTTTGCTAAAAGCTTATAAAACACATGAAAATACCTTTTAATATATTTCTATATAGTCTCATCAAAATAAATAATAAACATATTGGTATCCTCAAGAAGAACTTGATTTGGTTTTAATTGTCCCATTTGAAGTGAGATGAAGATATTTATTGAAATGCACAATTATCTAATATAAGTGGATCATATTAGGTGATTTCTGAACTATATTCAGAAAATCACAGAGGCCAGACAAAACAAATATGCTGAATTTTACAAAAATGTATCTTAGATTCTAAAGACTTTTCTGTATTATCATGTCATAACATAGTCTCTGAAATAGTCATGAAATCTAAACATATTCAAATGTTTGCAAAGTTAATAAATTTATTTTAAACCGTTCCAAAGAAATTTATGTTAAACAGTACCATTTACTCAGCACTGGAACTTAACAAAAAAATGGAAATCAGTGAAAACAACTGTTAAATGCATAATTTATACAGTATGTAATAAAAAGATACATATGTATTAATAATATAAAATATATTAAATGTTCTTTATTAATAATGCTCTAGACCTTATAAAATAAGTAAATAAGCATATAGACATACATATATTTATATATATTAAATTCCCATTACTCAAATGTCAGATACAGCCATAAATTCTTGATAAAAATAAAGATTTAGTGAAATGTTTTTTAAAAATTATGTGGTACAATTAATATGATAAATATCCAATATCGTACCATGTAAAATACTTTAAATAAGTTTCAGTTATTTATTAACTAGAGTTATTATACACAGTCATCAAACTTTTTCTGCCAAATCCTGGAAACACTTTAGTTACTTTCTAAATAGTTCACTTCAATGAAATCAAAGCCTATTATCAGTATATTACTGATTACCAGCCAAGCAATTAAAATTGAGCTTTCAACAGATAAAAGTTTGTCAGTCTTTTCTTTTTCTTTTCCTTTTTTTTCTTTAATTTTTGTGCCTCCTGGGGCTTGTACTCAGAGCCTGGTTACTGTCCTGGAGCTTCTCTTTGCTCAAGGCTAGTACTCTACAACTTAAGCCACAAATCTACTCTCAGCTTTGTTTTTTTTTGGTTGCTGTTGTTGGCTTGTTTTTGTTTTGTTTTGTTTTATTTTTTGGGGGGTGGTGCTTATTTGGCATACGAATCTCATGGACTTTCCTGACCTACTGAGTTTTGAATTGTGAACCTCAAACCTTAGTCTTCTAAGTAGCCAAGATTATAGGTGTAAGTCACTGGCAACTGGCCTGTCAATCTTTAATAAAAAACAAAACTGCCCTTTGTCTATATACATCATTTCTTACTACGTTATATCAACTAAATACTTAATTTGATAGTTAATTAGCTCTTAACTTTTGTGTGTGTGTCAATATGGGGAGTTGAATCCAGGCATTTGTGCTCTCACTTGGATCCTTCACTCAAGGCTGGCCCTGTACCACTTTTAGATAGGAAGCTAATAAGATAGTAGGTGATATATAGGATACCTTGGTTCTACTCTAAAACTTAAGGAGTTTAAATAGGATGCTTGCTACCTTGCTGAGGATCACTGGGACCTGAGAAGTAGAAACGTTGAAATAATGTGATAGTTAATGAAAAGTATAAATGGAAGTAACAATGAAGAATACATATGGTAAAAAGCACATAGTGTGACAAGAAGCTTTATGTAGAACAAATGGCCAAGGGGAAATTATAACATAGATGCACTATTGCAAAATCTTAGCTGTTAGTATAACCAAATGGATAACATGAGATCCCTGAGCACAGCAAACATTAATACATTACCACAAAAGTGCAAAGGTAAGGATAAGCGCTATAATGTTGTATCTGTTTTGAAAAAGAAAGGAACTAAATTAAATTAAAATGGGAATATTTTTTTGCTACTCATTCAGCATTATGAGTCTGAACGTTCACTTATCACCTGACAGGGAAATGAAAGGCAAAAGAGTAATAGCCACAACTAAGGCAAAATACACGGTGTAGAGAAGGTGTCCCTGCAGCCAGCAAACACCCGAAGATATTACTGTCCCCAAAGCAAAACCAGCACAGTAGGCACAAAAAACAATGAGAAGGCAAGTAAAAATCAAACTAGAATCAAGATCATAAGATTATCTCTAGCTATCTAAGGCCATAGACTTTACAGGAGAGGATAGTGATTATTTTAAAAAAGAATATATTACATATGCTATAATTGACACATTCACTTATATTTCACTGTGTTAACTGTACACAGAATATCTATAATAATTACATAAACTGTTGCTTTGATTCACTCCAACCAATGAAGGTGATAAAGTAAAGATTTCAAAAAGTAGTAAAGATGGCTATCACAGAAATATCTCAAACCAGGATGGCTCAATCTTATATACTTTGTTATAAACCTTTTTAGAGTGTACCAAATCATTCAACTTATAATGAAGAGTTTCATTTAAGAGAGTGTCCAATTAAAGCCTGGTGCTGGTGGCTCAGGCCTGTAATCCTAAACACTCAGGAAGTTAAGGTCTGAGGATCGCCATTCCAAGCCAGCTCGGGCAGGAAGGTCTGTGAGAGTCTTTTCTCCAATAAACAACCAAAAAGCTGGAAGTGGGTCTATAGGTCAGGAGGTAGACTGCTAGACTTAAACAAGAAAGCACTGAGTTCAAGAATAAAAAGACTATCAGAAACAGATATATAATACACATAAACACTTTACCAGCAAACTTCCCTATTTTGATATATCTAATGTTTTTGTTCTTGTTTTCCTTTGCCCTTTATTTTCCCTTCCTTATTTTTAACACAGTGAACCGTTTAATAATAATATTTCACTTGTCTCTTTAATAATGTTATGATTTTAAAGAAAGTGATTCTTCAGTTAATGTATTTAATAAATAAAAAATAGAACCACAGTTCTATTTACAGAAAAGGGGTACTCACTTATCTCAGATAGAGACCATAAATTATTCTAAAAATATTTTAGCACTATAATAATTAGAAAAAATATCACATTAAATTTAAGTTTGAAAATAATACTTCTTCTCATTAGAAAAGTTCCTAAAACACGCTAGTGAGAGAACTACTCTTAAGCAATGTGGCTAGAACATACTAATCAAAATGCTATGCATGCCTATGTGGAAAATAAATGGAATGAATCTAAGTTATCAAAATGGAAAGCAAAACATTTAAATACAAATATTGAAACCAAAAAAGACTAGTCTTTTATATTTTCCAATATGCAAAAATTAAAAGATAATAACTTCTCTTTTGACTTACGACATAAAATCCCACATGACTTTGGAGTACATTATTAGCTGGATTCTGAATCATCACTATTAAACATCACAGTCATTGCAGTAAAAATATTGCAATATTTTAAAGTTAGAAAATGTCAGATACTGAAGCCTCATGTTTGTAGTCCTAGTTAATCAGGAGGCTGAGATCTGAGGATAATAATTTTTATCAGCTGTGGCAAGAATAGCCCATGACAATTTTGTCTCTATCCATGGAAAAGCCAAAAGTACAGATGTGCCACAAATGGTACAGGGCCAACTTTAAGGCAAGAAAAAGTTCAGGGACAATGCACAGGCACTGAGTTCAAGCCCCAGGTCCAGGAGGAAAATATGAAAACAAAGATGAAAAAGACAAAGAGGACAAAGGAAGATTGGGAAGGAGGAGGAAGAAGGAGGAAGGACTGGGGAGGGGTAAGGGGGAGGAAATGGGAAGGGGAGGGAGAGGGGACGTGGGGAGGAGGAGAAGACAGGAGGAGAGGGGAGGAGAAGGAAGGAAGGAAGGAAGGAAGGAAGGAAGGAAGGAAGGAAGGAAGGAAGGAAGGAAGGAAGGAAGGAAGGAAGGAAGGAAGGAAGGAAGGAGGAATAGTAGGAAAGAAAACAATCCTAAAATGTCTAATGTTTTACAAAGGAAAATAGCATAAAGAACCATGTATATACTCTGCTTCAAGAGGTACATTTATCCAAAGAGAAAATTATTAGTTCATCAGTATAACATGTTTACATTGCACTTACTGGTAATATTGTCTTGAGGCCTGAACGAAGGAATTCATTCCTTAAATGTATTCGAAAATCAAGATCATATGGAGAAGTGACAAGGGCATTTATCAACTGCATGCATGCCACCTGCAATAAGAAAGTACATTTTGTAAAAAAAAAAAAAAAAAAAAAAAAAAGTTTAAATAAACACCTAAGGAAGTATGTAGGTAAAGCACTCATAATATATTCAAACAGAAGATGTGATGGATGATCAAGTATGTTATGCTTTGCTGAACAATATTAGGTATTATACTCCCTATGTGAAACCTGGAGTTCCAAATGTGAGCATAAGGAACCATTTTGAAAACATCAAGAAATATGACTGTCATATCCAACTGTTCTAAGAATGTACTCGCCCTCAATTCCGTATATTTACAAATAACTTTCCAAACTAACTCGGATAATGTATACGAGTACCCTAATATTAAACAGGGAAAAATAATAATATACTAATACACTGATTCATACTGTTCCCATCCTCTTAACAGGATGGATTTAAATGAATACATAAAGCATTAAATTATGTAATTAGAAATAATGTAATCATGGGAAAAAACTAACTCAAGCCTATTAAGGCAACTAGAAGGTGCTTTGAGACTTACACATGTATATTGTATAATAAAGTGTACAAAGCTTTGATTTTGAGGTCCCTATTATAAAAGGGGTGTCATTTGCTTGAGCTATAAATCAGAAGAGAATCAATAGAATAGTAATTCCCAAGTGTTCAATACATTACTTCTGAACAGCATTTGTTGAAAATGCTGCTCAAATCTAAGGTAACTAATAGTCAATTTGAGAAACTGCACACTTAAATTGATCATTATATTAAAAGTATGCAATGACTAGAAAAGTATTGAAAAACTTGCCTGAAAGGAGAATCCCAAAAAGTGTCAAATGTAGGAAAGATGTTAAGTATAAATAGAAGGCATATAAAAACAAATAGTATGGAAAAAAAAACATATTAACAAAAGAAAAATGTTTCAGATATAGCTTGGCTAGAATTTTCCAGATCTAGTACTAAGATTTTCAAAATATAAAATTACTAAAAGGTATAATATTTTTATTTTTGTAACAATATCTTATACATAAAGCTGTTGAGGAAAGATTTGCCCAACTATCTGACATCAAGATTCAAAAGCCAAATATTACATGTTTTAAAGGGAAAAATTGTATAAGATAATGGCAAGTATATGGCAAATATTTAGTCAATGTTTGTTTTATTTTGACATCTTACCAGTCCTAGAAATTAGACTATACTGTTCATATATAATTTTGATCTCTACTAATGTTATAAGCAACACTGGCAAAATATTCCTAAGATTCTATTTAAATCTATAGCAAAACTGGGATTGAGGCATACTTCAAGTGGTAGAGAAAATGCCTAGCAAACACAAGACACTGAATTAAAACCCTAGTACCACCAGAAAATAAAAATAAAATGTGGCTAAGAACGTGACTTAGTGGTGCTAGCCTATCCTGCATGATGCCCTGGGTTTGATTCCTTGATACCACATAAACAGAAAAACAAATATAATTAATAACATAAACAAAATAAAGGAATTATGTAAATCTCTACAGTTTCAATGGGTGAAATAGTAATATCGATACACCATTCAACATTACTGCATTTGCTTGAATAACTAGTGTTATAAATATGATATGACCAAATAAGCCAAATGTAAAAGCCCATTCCAAAATTAACAAAGAAAAAAGTTGTCATCTACTAGCATTGTTTTTGCAAAAAGCAATTGTATTTTATGGCTTGTATTAATACTCTAAAAGTAGAACATTTCCAAAAGAGGCAAGTCCTATCACTGTATCTTTTAACAAATAAAAGTACTTTGAGCCAGACACCTGTGGCTCATGCTTGTAATCCTAGCTACTGACGAGGTTGAGATCTGAGAATCAGGATTCAAAGCCAGCCCGGGGAAGGAAGGTACATGAGACTCTTATCTCCAATATAAATCACCAGAAAACCCAAAGTGGTGCTGTGGCTCAAGTGGTAGAGCATTTGCCTTGAGCTGAAGAGCTGAGGGACAGTGCCCAGGTCCATAGTTCAAGCCCCATGACAAACAAACAAAAAAAAATACTTCAATTAGGAGACAATAAAAATAGTAAAGGTCAGGGATTGAGGTCAAGGCTTTTCTTTGAGTGGGTTCAAACACCAGTACTGCCAACATAAATGAAAACTGTTTTAAAACACATTTTCCTTGGTATAGGTGCCTCAAACCTGTAATCCTTGCTACTCGGGAAGCTGAAATCCACAGAATATAGTCTGTGACTGAACAAGGCAGTACAGCCGACTAGACATTGCAAGTTAGCCAGCAAAAGGTACGGCTGGAGGCATGGTTGAAGTATTAGGACATCAGCCTACCACCTGAACTCACACTCCAGAAAAACAAAGACGAAAATAGAAAATCTATATGATTGTACTGCAAATATTGAAAAATTTTGGCACATTCCAGAAGTCTTATATATTGACCCAACAAAAAAATTTTAACACTCAGAAAAGTAAAAAAAAATTCATCTGGTCCAGGGTGATATATACGGATCTAGCTTTAGTTTTCTACAGGTGTTTAACCAATTTTGCCAGCACCATTTACTGAAGAGGTTGTCTTTCTTTCATTCTATTTTTTTTTTAGCTCCCTTGTCAAAGATTAGGTGGCTATAGGTCTATGGGTTCATTTCTGAGTCTTCAATCCTATTCCATTGCTCTTCAGGTCTGTTCTTGTGCTGTTTTTATTACTGTGGCTTTGTACTAGAGTTTGAAATTCGAAATTCATATTCCTCTAGCACTGTTCTTTCTGCTAAGAATTGTTTTTGCTATTCGGTCTTTTATTGTTCAATATGAATTTTTGGATTGCTTTTTCTATTTCATTGAAGAATGAAATTGGGATATTGGCAGGTATCACAATGAATTTGTATATACTATGAGAGGTTTGTTTCCACTTCCTTAGTTCCACTTTAATTTCCTTTTTCAGGTTCTAAAGTTTTCATCATAAAGGTCTTTCACCTCTTTTATTTATTTATTTATTTATCTATTTATTTAGGTCGGTCATGGGGCTTGAACTCTGGGCTTGGGCGCTGTCCCTCAGCTCTTCAGCTCAAGGCTAGCGCTCTACCACTTGAGCCACAGCGCCACTTCTGGCTTTTTTCTTTTTGCTCATGTGGTGCTGAGGAATCGAACCCAGGGCCTCATGCATGCAAGGCAAGCGCTCTATCACTGAGCCAACTTCCCAGTCCCTCCATGGGGTTCTTTAAATACAAGATCATGTCATCTGCAAAGAGGGAGAGTTTTATTTCATCTTTCTCAATTTGGATCCCCTTTATGTTTGCATCTTGTTTTATTGCCCCAGGTAGGTATTATAATACTAAGTTGAAGAGGAGTGGGGAAGAGTGTACATCCTTGTCTCGTTCCTGAAGTTTGAGGAAATTTTTATCTTTATCTTTTCATCAGTAAGTATAATGATGGCAACTCCAAATGGATCAAAGACCTCGAAAGAAAAGCAGACACCCTGAAAACATTACAGGAAGGAATAAGAGAAACTCTAGGGCTTCTTATCACAAGCTGAAATTTTCTTAATAGAGACCCAGAAACAACAAATCAAAGAAAGGTTGAACAAATGGGATTGCATGAAACTGCAGAGCTTCATGGCAAAGGACATAGTTAGCAAGATCAATAGAAATCCCACAGACTGGAAGAAGAAATTTACTACCATACAACAGACAATGGTCTCATATCTAAAATATACTTACAACCCCAAAAATTAAATCCCCCAACAACAAATCCTCAAAGAAACAACTGCCAGATTAACAAGTGGGCTAAAGACTTAAAGAGAGATTACTCTGAAGAGGAAATAAGAATGGTCAATAGGCACAAGAAGAAATGCTTATCTCCTGTAGCCATAAAAGAAATGCAAATCAAGACATTGCGATTCAACCTCACCCCAGTTAGAATGGCTATAATCAAGAACTCTAATAACAACAGATGCTGGAGTGAATGTGGCCAAAAGGGAACTCTAGTGAATTGTTGGTGGGAATGTAAATTTGTTCATCCACTTTGGAAAGCAGTATGGATGTTCCTCAAAAGACTCTACATAGAGCTCCCCTATGACCCAGAAATCCCACTTTTGAGCATTTACCCAAATGATCACAAACAAGGCCATACCAAAGGGATCAACACAACCATGTTTATCGCAGCATTATTTACCATATCTAAGATATGGAACCAACCCAGATGTCCTTCAGTAGATGAATGGATCAAGAAAATGTGGTATATATACACAATGGAATTCTATGCCTCCATCAGAAAGAATGACATTGCCCCATTAGTTAGAAAATGGAAAGATTTGGAAAAAATTATATTAAATGAAGTAAGCCAGGCCCAAAGAAATATAGGTACCATGGATTCCCTTATTTGCGATAACTAGTACTTGTCTAGGACAAGCAAAAAAGGACAAAAGCTATGTACATATGACCATATAAGATGATATTAAGTAAAAAGAACCCCAAGAAGGGGCAAAACTTTTTTCTTTCTTGCTATTGTTTTTAACATACTTAAAATGTACCATGTGATTCTTTTGTTTCTTTTGTATGTTCTTCCCCCACGGTATAACCCCTGTATTCACTGTATTTGATTCTGGTACCCTGAATCTTGTATATACATTTTTATAATTTGGGGAGGGGAAGGGATATAACAAAATTCTTAAATAAGGATACAGGTTGGCCCATTTTTAACAATGAGATATATAAGACACTATCTTGAAAACTAACTTTACAATTTCGGGGCGGGGGAGGAGTTGGAGAGGTGGGAGGAAAGGGATAGTAGGGGGAAAACAAAGGAGGAGGTAACAATGCTCAATAGGAAATGTACTCATTACCCTACTCATACAACTGTAACCCCTCTATATAATACTTTTACAATAAAAACATATATGGAAAAAAATTCCTCTGGTGAATCATATTTGTTAAACAAGATAGAAAGTAAAAAAAAAAAAAAAAAAAAAAAAAACCAAGGGATTTTAAAGCTGACAAGAACATAAAATAATCTAGTTCTATATATTCAGTTAAAGATACATAAACAAAAC